GGGGGGGGGGTATGGAAGCGTGTTCATGATTGCGAAGTTAGGACAGTGTTCATCGTGCTCTACAAATTGAGGTGTGCCCTTTTTGATTTATTCGATATATTTCACTGCTGTCGGTTATTGTTTGCGTTACATCCTACGAAATAAATGTTTGCCAATCATCATTCAAATATATTTTTCCCGTTTCCAGTAAGGCCTTCCATGAGCGCTGCCAAGATGTCTACCATCATGAAACCTCCTGTCTCTGTGATATCCAACTTCCTCCACACAATGGTCGGGTACATTGGCTTAGCGATTGGGAAGTAGATTTCTCCCCTCCAGCTGGGTGTGCTCCTCACTACACGCTCACGTTGCCACGGAAATCACTGAGCGGTTCGAGATCTGAAAATTTCGAAGCCGAGTTTCGCAGCCCCTCTATATCTCCTCATAGGTCACCTGACATTGTCACAACTGAGGTCATTTCATCTTCTCTCAGTTCTCTAGAGTTTGTTGTTACAACAACAACAACAGTGAGTTCACCGACAGTGACGGTAGCCTCTCACTCACCTTCTCTATCCCCATCGAATACCGATTTTAAAGACGGAGGAAGGTACAAAGGATGCGATGAGGGATTCGTCTTTGCCACAACACCTAGCTGTGATGCAAAGGGGTGGATTTATACGACTAGATCATCTTTATGCGAGTGAGTACCAGTTGAAGTTGTGTTCGATCTACAGCTTAGATTTGAATGTAAGTGCTAGGATTTCTATTATTTCATGTATTCATACTCCTTGGATTTGCGCATTTTCGAAACGGTCGCGGATATTTACGCAGATTTCAAATAAATCTATTTCATTTCCTTTTTGATGGCTATGCTGAGTTTTAACTTCTTCTCTTTTTTGGCTAAAGCGGAGTTCGCCTATTTCTATTTTCGATCAAAATGGCCTGGTGCTTCATAATTATGATTTATTGTTTTTATCGATGACGTTGCTAGGGGGGCTAGGACTGATTGATAACATTCATGTATGAATTTTATAGACTATTCAGCAAGTGATTTTCCTCACGCTTACTTAATTATCATTATTTTCATCATTCTTTAATCTTTGTCAATAATTAATAACAATAAAATAGTGGAATAGCCAAAATGTGATTCTTTTCGTAGTCATCAAGTCCACTGCCCTCAGAAATCATATGGTGGTGTGAGACACAGAAGATGGGTTCGAAGCTATAGTGTGTGCACCGAGGCCCCATGGCAAGAAGTGGGGCCTCTCAAAATCAAGTCCCTTTCATTGACTCGGGCATCTGGTAGGATCGACGGTTGCATTGGAGCATGGGCAGTCACAGATACAGGAGAGCTTGTCTTTCGAAAGGACGTGACACCATCTAATCCTGCTGTGAGTTTATATTTCCTTCGTGTTTCGCAATTTTTAATGCAATTTTCTTTCTTGAACTATTCTTTTTTACTCTATTAATTAGCATCCTTTTTTTATTTAATAATGCTCCTCAAATCTGTTCTTCCAGCCGAATCCACGTGTATCATCAGCTGTTGGCGCAAAGCTAGATAGTGGCTTTCTGGACGCCAAAGTTTATTATTTAATCCATTGTTTTAAAAGAGCACTTATAAGTTAAAATGTTGACTGAAATTTCTAACTTAGAATATAATATTTACTGCTGCAAAGGAAGAGAGTTTTGAAATTGTAAGATTCTCATCTTGAAAACAACAGTATCTACAAAATTCAAGTTGCGATTGGAGAGCCTATGCTTTTCCTATCTGATTAACAAATTTGTGTATATTCCATTTAGTTCAACCATAACGGTGTCTTGTCGGTTGTTTGAGATTGGAGAGTGTTTGAATTTGTTTGTACTTTATCTGTTTCGCATTTCGCGAATTCGTTTTCATTTCTTGACAGGAAAAGTAGATCTGCGTATGAATTTAGCAAGTTTAAAAGTTGTCTCTCTAATCCTTTCATGCGCAGTGCTATTAGTTGGAATAGATTGCGATTTGCAACTGGTAAATGTTTATTTTTTCAATTGATTTTTTGATGCTCTCTAAAATCGTTAGGCAAGGGAATATTTCTCTAATAATGAAAATGAAATATCTGCATTAGTTACGTATCCGTTTTTGATGCGACACTTGGATTATATGCTGAGAGATACTTTATTTACCTTCACATGTCACATTCTAAATTGGGATAATCTTAGGGATCTGCTTGGATTCACCGCCCAGCTCCTCGTCGACTGCATTCCGTAGCTGTAGCATCAAATAGCAGTGTTTTGAAGTTATGGGCTATTTGTGCGGACTTTGGACTTCTGTGGCAGCAGGAATCAGCACTCAGCGATCAATGCAGACCTTCCGATCAGCTAAAATGGCACTGTCTCGGCTTTTCCCCAACCGGTTGTGCTTGGGATCGACTTGCACCGGTTTCCGAGAGTATTCTTTGGGCACTGGATGTTGATGGAAAGCTATGGGTGTATTTAGAAGGTCAGCAGGCCTCGGAAGACGATGAGAAGTCAGGTGAAGGGGAAGGGCCAGTTGTAAATTGGATCAGAGTTGCTGCACCGCGTGTCTCTGATATCTCTTCCAGTCCTGATGGCAAAGTAGTCACACTACTTATCTATATTAAGTAGCTTATTTTATATATAAACATTGGGCTTGTTTTGTAGGTATGGGCAGTGTTCACCTCTAGGAATGCTGTCGCCGTTCGAACTGGAATGAGTCAGAACACACCTAGTGGGACTGGGTGGCTTATCATCCTCGAGGGAACTGTATCCAGTGTTTGTATAAAAGGAGGGTCAGCTCTGCCCTAATCTGTGAATAACTCAAATTTGTTTTCATTTTAACTTATAATTACAAGTTTGATACATATTTTTTAAGAAAATATTTTCTTTCATCATATATTGATGAAACTAGAATTCTTGAAACGGAAAAACATAGTCTATTAAAAGTCTCAGTTATGGAATTTCACGAGGTTGCTGAAGCATTTTAACGTTATGAGGGTTTGAGATAAATCGGAGGGAGAACTAAAGATGACCATTTCCCCGGATGCGGGTGAACTGCATGTTTTCTGAGTGCTACATGGCTTAAATTGTTCCGAATTTGGGATGCACTCAGTGGGGGGGGGGGGGGGGTGTGCGATGGACTTACCTCCACTTGGTGCACTCTGTACAACGTATACTCATACGGCAAAAGTCTGAAACTCGGCAATTGACTTCAAAATATTATGACAAGCCTGAAACTGAACTCCAATAGGGGAAATCGTCCTTGTTAGAGCGAATCGCTACTTCTACAGACCCTTCGGTGGAATGCTGTAGAGATGGCACCAGACAAGAAGACCCAAATCCAGAAAATCCTGCATACCTATGATATAGACATATTCACAATCATGGAAGCCAACCTTATGGATGAAAACTCAAATAAAATCAATTCCCGGGTTTCACCTTATATTTTCTACCTAAAGACCGGCAAGTGGCAAGTGGAATATTAACTGGATTAAAAGAAGGCCTCATATCACATTGCGAAAAAATCAACAGTGTATACTCAATGTAGGTAGTATGCGAGATAATCAAATTAAATGTCTGAAAAAGTCCAAACAGCTGTTGGTCCTTACATATTGTTTGGTGGCATCATAGCTCAAAATTTTAGGCTTGTTTTTTTCTATAATTGTGGAGTTCATCGCACAAGTAATGAAGTTGAGGAGAAGTAACTTGGTTGAAATGGACATCTATGCGAAGCCTCATTTTGAACTGTGTTCGGGATTGAATGAGCTTTAAACCACCGCACAAACGCATTCGAATCACTGTATTTGCAATGGCACAGTTCCACCACTCAGTTCCTGCCACATAATCTGAACCCTGAAGGAGGAGTTGCTTATAGACAAGGAATCTATTCCGTGGTACCACCTTCTAGGCTCTTGTCAATATTGAGTATATGTCTCTGAATAAAACATTGGAAGGTGTGTGTGAGACAGTTTGCGAGTGATTACACAATCTCGAATGTCTTTGTGATGCATCTTAAATAAAATAGTTTCGTCGGAGAGCATATTACAAGGTGAGAACTTTGATAAAACATTAGTCATCTACTTACTTATGACTTATCGAACATAAAGTTAATTGTATTAAGATGGGTGATTAGAATTATTCCAAATGGTGGAATATAGTGAGGAGGTTCGCTGTGGGTAAATCATGTTGTGTTGTTTTGTGACATTGGAAGCGTAAAGACATCAATCTCACTTGGTGATTGCGGCTAATGGCATGCTGCCGGAGGGGTGTGAATGGCTTGTTTTGTCCATGAGTTCTTGAAGGCTCAACAGGTACTTGGAGCCTTGGACTTAGTGCAGACAAAGTTACACGAAGGTTTTAGTTAATACATTTTACAAAAGTTTCCAAAGTTATACAAACCTTGTAAATGGTTGGCAAATTATCAGTAGCATAAAATTATATATTATAATATACAAGTAGCATTCCATTTGTACACAGTCATTATGTAACTGTATATGGCACAAACTCTGATGTTTCAGCGATTCAAACTACTTCCCTATAGGAAAAATTGATATGGGCATCAAAGGAGGAAAATTGACCTACTCGCCTTGATTTTTTGTGTGAATTCCTACAGGAATAAGCCAAACTTATCCTCGGTAATTATTATGGCAAGATCCCCTATCATTAAAATGCTTCAAAAGGTATTTGAGCTTCGTCAAAGCTCTAGAGGCAAAGGCGTACGACTTGGCATATGCCTATTTGGCTTGTGTATGCTTGACACAGAGTTCAGCCATTGAAACAAAATTGTGGGTTGATCAAAAACATTTAGGGACTACTGATTGGTAGTTTGATGAGAGGTCCCTGTGCTTACGATTATGCTTGCTCCCAAGTGGAAGTAACATTTTCCCTAGTTTTAATAATCACTTTAAATGTGGCGCTTTATTTGTATTAGAGATGTAATGAAGCTCAATGTTTATCAAGTGAGAAGTAGCAATTGACTTGCCAGTGTCTCTTAATTGTTTAACATATTCGCCTTTTTTGAATTTTAAAAAATTTACTAATCTGGAGATTGTTCATATCACGTAACTGAAGTTGGTTATTCTGAACCTCCTTTTATGAGACACATTTAGTTCACCGTACCTCACATTGACAGATATTTACTTTCACCACTGTCACAGTTTGTCCTCTTATTTGACAATTTTAACTACAGACTTTGTTGATGGTTTTTCCCATTCTCTTTGTTTTGCCACCCATCAATCAGTATGCCCTTTTGATTGGCCACTGGCATGACTGTTTTTCCTACAACTTATTGCGACACACCAATTTGGGTAATTTAAATATCTTTAGTATTTCTATGAGATAAAAAGAAAAGAAAATTTTTAAAAAAATAGAGGTTATAGACCAATGAATATTTCGCTGGAAGGGGGATACGTCGGCTGTAAGCATTACCTTTAAAATCATAAAATATGTATGAGTTTTCAATAGCCCCTAAAATATTTATTTATGTCAAATGGCAGGCAAAAATGTTATTATTATTATTATTATATCAAATGGCAGGCGGTTTGATGGTCTTCAGGCTTCACAGAGAGGAAGGAACATCAAAGTGAAAGAAAGTCGAGGTGGGGGGGGACAGAAGAGTGTTCAAAGGCGAGGGTAGAAAAAAGATGAGGTGAGTACTGTGAACGTAGTCGACTATGACATACAGTGGGGCCATGGGAGTTTGAAGTCAGAAG